AATGATCATTCCACTGCAATGATCCTGAATGAGAATTCAGTGGCCAACATCACTCCTAGTAGATAATCCAAATTCCCATTTTACCTCATAGCTCAGCAGTTGTAACATTATACCTGAAGTGATCATACTGATGACTAGTGTCATATCAGGGAAAAAAAAAGCGTTCCATCAGTGAATTTCCAATCCACAAAGACCAGCCAATGAAGTGTTGCCCTGAGGGTCTAGCAGTGATGAGAATGAGGAGGTGGTGAAGCTTACATGAGGGTCAGTCTGGGCAGTGGCGAGTTGGTGTAGATCCAGCAAACTCTGGTTCACATTCTTCTCCAGATCCAGGGCAACCTGCATTGCCTGCAGAGTATTACCCCACTCATCCCTCTCTGGCTTCTGGGAATGGAAAGAAAGACAGTTAAGCTTCAGAATCAGAATCCCTGCAGCATGGGAGCAGGCCATTCAGTCCACACCTATCTTCTGCAGAGGATCCCACCTAGTCCCACTCCCACCCTATAACATTAACCCTGAATTCCAAAATGGCCAATCTTCCTAACCTACATATCTTTGGACTGTAGGGAAACCCATGCAGACATGGGGTGAACATGTGAACTCCAGTCAGTCACTAGAGGCCAGAACCAAACTTGGATCCCTGGCACTGAGGCAGCAATGCTCACCATTGTGCCATCCCTGAAGTGCAGATGAAGAAAACAGTTACTCAATAATTGTTTTCACTTTGCACCATTTATCCTTGATCTGCATTAGGACATTAGAGAACAGGTCATTGTGGGATAAGGATTAAACTTGCACCAAAAAAGGAGTTGTTTGCTCCAAAGTCAAAGTCAATCTGATGGAATTTAGAGCAGGATATTCACAATTGAATCCCAAGGGCTGTTGTGGTGCTGTGGTAGTGTTCCTACCTCTGGAAGAGGCAGCTGATGTTGAAGACCCATCTGTTAGTGGTTTCATACCTACCTGAGTAGGATGATCAGACATCACTACAGTTAAATTCATTGAAGGGACAGCAATGTGTTTACAATAAGGAACAAAGGTAACAAATGCACAGGACCATAGATCTTTCAAGGTTCAAAAGAAGACAGGGTTGTAAAGGTGACGTATAGGTTGCTTGCCTGCATTACCTGAGGCAGGGGGTGCACATGAAAGGACAAGCCTAGTTCCAATGTTGAACCATTGTTGTTCCTGTCACCACACTGTATTCCATCTGTGGCCTAGCCAATCAGAAGGACAGGATGGCACTGCAGACAGTGCAGTGAGAGTCACCAGGTTGTTTCCCAAAATGGAAAATCCATTATGAGGAAAGAGATTGGATAGACTGGGATTTTCCCTGGAGCAGAAGTGGCTGAGGCAGTTATCTGATGGAAGTATAGAAGATTGGAGATTCTGCACAGTAGATGGGGAGAAGGTCTTCCCCAAGGCAAACACTAAGACCAGAGGGCACAGGTTTGAGGAGTAAGCAGGTTAGAGGGGATTGGAGGAAACATTTGACCAAAGGAGGGCAATCAAAATATGGATTGAACCACCTGGGGAATGGCAATGGATGTAGCTACTCCAACGTTTAAGCACCATCTGGACATGCACTTAGTTCCAGGGCATAGTAGGCTGTGGACCAAGTACAAGTAAAGGGGATTAATGTAGTTTGGTGTTTGTTGGCTAGCATAGGCACGGTGGGCCAAAGGGCTTGGATCTATATCGGCTTCAAAAAGGAGATCAAACAGGGAAGACAAGCAAAAAGAATTTGTCACTCTCCTTTTGGGAAGTAAAATCCCATCACTGATGACTTAAAGCCACACCACAACAGCAGCCATTCCCACCACCAACTCCAACCTTCACATCCTGGAGGAGGACTCTGCCTCCACGCTGATTCTGGAATTTCAGCAGCTTCTCTGCATGTTCCTGCTTCTCCTGGAACTGATCTTTGAAGAACTGGGAGAAGTGAGGGAGGGCAACATCATCCCGGTCAAAGTAGGACATCTGGAAGAGAGAACAAGTTAATATCCCACAAACACATCACTGACCCTAATTGTAGTTCAGAACCCAAGGACTAGTGTAGCCTTCTAAAGCAAACTCATGATTGAATGAGCTGTTAATTGTCTGGGATATTAAAACATTTGAGAATCCAATGTTGTTCAATTAGCCAGCAGTCCCTTCAACTGGAGCAATCAGAACATGCCCAGCTTTTTCCTGGGAACATGCAAATAGCATGTGTTTTATGGTGGTTTAAAATTGGTGATTTGCTCAGAAGGTCTGGCATAGCATTTGCCAGTAGAAAAGCTGAAGTCATGTTTCTACTCATTAACGTCCATCAGAATTGGATGAAGTTAGTGATCGAATAGGGTTTCAGGAAGTGCCAGGATCTGGAGTGCAGGATGTACTCAGGGTAGGGCAGCTGCAAGGCACTACATTTCTCCTTTGGGGAAAAGTGGAAAACAAACATTGGACACTGCTATAACTAATAATTCAGTTCTGAGGAAGGGTCACTGGACCCAAAACGTTAACTGTTTTCTCCTCCACAGATGCTGCCAGACCTGCTGAGCTTTTCCAGCAACTTTGTTTTTGTTCCTGATTTACAGCATCAGCAGTTCTTTTGGTTTTTGTTTAGGTAAAATACTGTAGATTGTCAATCCATATTTGACTCATTTCTAAACTGTCATGTTCACAACTCAACGTGTTAAGGTTTAGGAGCTATTATTGAGAGGTTTGAAGTAGCAGCTAATAAGGGTTATGTTCTCTGGGAGGAATCCTGGTGAAAGGTTACTTTAGTCCTGAAATACAAACAAGCAAAAAAGTTAACTTTGTGGGTTAAGTGGGCAGTTACAAGTTGTGGCAGGGATTTTATTATTGGCACACAGGTCTTTGATCAAAACCCAACAACTGGTTCACCAATGAAAGCTGTTCCCACCTCCCAAACGGAGCTTATAGGGACTTCATCCTCACATTGTGAGGCAACTTCCTGCTAACAGGCACAAGCCCAGAGTGTGATGAATATTCTCCACTTGTCTGGAGAAGTGGAGCTACAACTTTTCCAGAAGCAGACACCATCCAGGACAGAGCAGCCCACTTCATTGGGACTGCATTCACCACCTTCTTTCAGTGTCCATTATCTACCAGGTACCCTGCAGCACTCACCAAGGTTACTTCAACACACCTTCCAAACACATTCTACCCCTTGGAAGGGCATAGGCACACCACCACCTGGGTAAAGGGGCCAGTTTGTTTCAAATCAGGCTAAGTGGTATGGGAACAGCCTCCACTTCTTCACTGTCACTGGGTCAATAACCTCAGCATATTATAGCAGCCCCCAGGGTGGGGGTGGGCTCCCACACGACAGCAGATCAGCTTTCTGCAGGTTGTGAAGGGATAGGCCACACCCACCTCATGAATGAGTACAAAAAGTCAAGTTGGCTTCAACTGAGATCTACTTAAGCTGATACCATTCACAGCCTTACCTTGACTAGGTTTGCTCAGATTAACCAAAGTTAATTGCAATAGGGAATTGTTAGCATGATCAACATCAAAATCAGCATCTTTATTTAGGATCACCACAAAATCAAGCAAATATAATCAGTATACTTGGAAATAGCCTGACTTTAACTAGTCAATAGGTGCTTCCCTTCCCACAAAATGGTTGTCTCAATTCCTTTCTAAAAAGGAGTCCTATCAGCTTTTGACAATCCTGGAGAGGGAATGACAGTTACTACTAATCACAACCCCACAGATGAATTATATCATAACTCCAAGAACACTTCACCCTCCACATTACCACTGGGGCCTCAGTTATTGGACATCAGCATCATACCCCATTGTTATGGTAACATCACATTCATCCTGAATTGATATTTAGGTCAGAATCACAAAACAATCTACAAGATTGTCAACTTAATTAGAAGGGAAAGAGTTTACTTGAATACAATAGATTTAATTTTAACTCCACAGAGACAGCACTCACCAAAGACTGATAGAGATAGGAGGCAGTGAGCTCCACATTAATCTGCTTGTTAACAGCAGCTTCACAATCCTGGTGATAGTTTTGACAAATCTGGGAGGCCATTTTGTGATGGATACTTTATTTTCCTGACCTTCAAAATGACAAACTTAGGAATAGCACAAAACATTGCTGCCTTAAGACTTTGTTTATACTCCAGGAGCCAACCCTCATATTTGTTATGCAGGAAATGACATCATCAGTGATGGCCAATCACTCTTGTTAATCAATTGATCAGCTGCCATGTCCAATCATTGCAGGATGGGATTTGGATCCAGAAGCCAATCAGAATTGACAACTGGCCGAAGATGGAATTGCTGATTGACCTTTGATCTCCTGCACAAGTGCAAATTCTGGAAGTATAGCTACCTGAAAATGAGAATAAAATATACTCTAAAACTTCACTTTTGTATCTGAGGTTATGTGTTAAGACACGCTCATCACAGATTTGCAGAATTCTGACAGTTTGTTACTCTGAGGGATTTGTCTTTGTACATTTTGAATGTCACTGTTGGAGCCCTTTGGAAAATGGCTACATCTGGTTGACAGTAAGCATTGGCACATTCTCCCCATGTGTGTGGGTTTCCTCCGGGTGCGCCGGTTTCCTCCCACAGTCCAAAAATGTGCAGGTTGGGTGGATTGGCCATGGGAAATTGCTCCATAGTGTTCAAGAATGTGTAGATAGTTGGCTTATAAGGGTTTGGGTCTGGGTGGGATACTTCAAGGGTCGGTGTGGTCTTGTCGTGTTGAAGGTCCTGTTTCCACACTGTAGGGATTCTATGATTCTATGATTTTCCTATTGCTGTATAGCAACAGAAATAATGTGCATTTGGATCATCTAATACAGGTAACTGATGTGCTTTGTAGATCCATTCTGAATCTGCTGTGATCTCCTTGAAGTTGGGTATCAGGAAGCCCAGTTTGAAAAGCAAAACACTAAATGTGCTGAGTGCCTCTTCTTAAAAGTAGGCCTCAGGCCTCTATGTCTCAGTTGCTGCTGGAAACGTTGAACATTTCTGTCTCCATGTTCGGTTTTTAATTGTTTGAAGTAGAACTTGCACTTAACTCCAGCATGTTTCCAAGTGGAGAGTTTGTGGTACCGTTTACATTGCATTCTGTAGATCGTACATCTTGGAGACTGGCAAGTCAGAGGCTGGGAATTCCGTTGTGAACTACTCCACTCCTGACTTTCCAAAACCTGTCCACCATCGATAAGACTAAAGTTAGGAATAATGCTGGAATAATTTACAATTTTCTGGCTCAGTGCAGTCCCAACAGCATGCAAGTAGATCCATGTAAATCTATCACCATCCTGACTTGGAACAATATCACTGTTTGTGAATCAAAATCCCAGAACCCCCTCCTCAGCAGCATTCGCAGCATCATTCTGGTCTCTCCTACACCAGGTGGACTGTAATAACCAGCTCATCACCATCTCCTGAAGTGTAACAGTTGCTGAGCACTAAATGTAGCCTCGCCATTGGCACACTCAAGATTGACTATATATAAAAGGCAGAGACAGTAGGAACTGCAGATGCTGGAGAATCCGAGACAACAAGGTGCAGCGCTGGATGAACACAGCAGGCCAAGCAGCATCATAGGAGCAGAGAGGCTGACGTTTCGGGCCTAGACCCTTCATCAGAAAAGGGGGAGGGGAAGGGGGTTTTGAAATAAATAGGGAGAGAGTGGGAGGCGGATAGAAGAGGGATAGAGGAGAGGATAGGTGGAGAGGAAACAAACAGGTCGAATAGGCGGGGATGGAGCCAGTAAAGTTGAGTGTAGGTAGGGAGTTAGGAAGGGGATAGGTCAGTCCAGGGAGGACGGACAGGTCAAGGGGGCGGGATGAGGTTGGTCGGTAGGAGATGGAGGTGCGGCTTGAGGTGGGAGGAG